GTTCAGTCTAAGCTGTTGGGACACTGATGGCACCGTTGACGTGCTTGCAGAGGTCTGTGTCGGAGAGGATCTACATCAGGGTGTACGTGCTGAGTTATGTAAACCTGCAAATGTCGTTAGTTTTTACATATGAGATTACTCCCGCATAGGTCAGTCACAATAAATTTTTTGTAAAATAAATGCATCTTGATATTTCGTGCTTCATGGGCATCTTGCTAGTGTTCGATAAGGCCTTGTACAATGGGAGATGCTTAGAAAAATAAACCGATTTTTTCGGAAGCACCGGTGCCTATTTCTATAGGAGAGACGCTTAGTTAAGCGTCTATCTTCTACAAATAAGAACCGGTGCTTAAGGAAATCCTGATTTATTTCTCTAAGCACCTCTCCTAAGGGCCTGTTTGGTTTCAAATAAGTCACCAACTTATAAGTCAAAAAGTGAAAAAAGTGACTTATTTTGCCAAACAGACCCGACTTATAAGTCACCCCAACTTATAAGTCATAAGTTGCTCCACCCCAACTTAAAACTTATAAGTCACCCCTTTTGCATGGGTCCCACCACCTGCATGATGTTGATTGGTGTGGAAAGATGTGTGACAACCAAACAGGCGTGACTTATAAGTCACTGGTTTTAAGTCACCTGAAGTCGTGAGGTGACTTATTGGAACCAAACAGACCCTAAGCACCTCTCATTGTTTTTTTTGAGGGTACGCAAATTGCGTACCTTAGCTTTATAGAAGAAGAGAAATGAGACATACAACAACGTCAACCAGTCGCTGCGAACAACGAAGGCGACCCACTCCACACCCGGATCGTACAAGGACAACCAAACCCACCACAACACAACTACGACACAAAATGCCTGCCCTACACCGAACCCCTTGCCGCGTCTCGGCCGACGTTGAAGACCTCCGAAGAACAGAAACTCCAGCTTCCTTGGATAAGCCGGTGACGGCCGTACATGGCGCCGAAGGAGAAAGATCTGGGCAGCGGTGAACGCCGGAGGAGCGCATCATGGGACCTCGAGTCTCCGAGCACAATGCTCCCAACAGAGTAACAACCTCAAGGACGTTGCTATCATGCCGATTCTACGAATCAAGGCTTTCGCCCCGGAGACAGCTGCCGATACAAGGTCGCGAGGAAGATGGCGTTGCACTCGGCGAAGCCTCCAGGAAGGTGAATGACACCCGTAGGTGCCATCAACGCCGGTCCGGCCACAACCGAACAAGATTTTCATCCGTAGCACCGCACACCTCCACGTCCCAAAGATCCCGGCCAGTCCCGATCAGATGCCTCACACCGCCGTCACCGCAGCAACTTGCCATCGAAGCCCCCCTCACTGCCGAGGGAACACGCCTAAAGCCATCACCTTCAACCTCGACTAGGAACCGCAGCAACCACCGAGTGGTGCACAACCAGATCCGCCACAGTGGCCTTCACCCGCGCCAGGGGACTGCCACCAGAATGGATCAGAACCCGCACCTCCGACCACACTCCGGCACCCACACCGCCAAGGCATCGCCGCACGCCTCACACGGCAGCAGCCGAACACCCGCTGCCCGCCAAGTCCCTTCCTGGCCAGGCCTCGCAGCGCCGCCGCCGCCATGGCTGCGCTCGCACCGCCGCCACCGCCAGAGTCGATGCACCACCAGCATCCTCCATCCTGCTGCGTCCCGCGCAAGGCTTCGGGGACAGCCGCCGCACACCCTGCCGTGAGCACCCCAAGGGCGCCGGCCACCGGACGAAGCAACCCACCACCGCCACCTCCGCAGAACAGGGCTGCCGCCAGATCCCGTCAGGGGAAGGGAGAGGGGGCCGCGACGCCCAAGCCGGTGCCGCTGCGCTCGCCAGATCTGGGCCGCCCAGACCTCCCACGCCTGCGCTGCACCTCCATGCGCAGCCGAGCCGCACCACAACGCGCTCTCCAGGCCAGGCGCAGACGCCCCGCCCACCGTGGACCCTCCAGGCGCCAGATCCGCTCACGTCCGCGCCACGACCTGCGCGCTAGAACCAACCCGCGTCGCGACCTGCGCTCTTGCGCCGCGCCGAAAACATGCCGCGCCGCCGTCTTGCCGCGCTGCCTTGAGCAGAGCGACCCCACACGCTCCCGCCGAGGCCAACGGCCCGCGTCGCGAAGCCCCGAAACAAAAGGTGGAGAGGGCCCCGCCGCCGCCAGGCCGCGCGGGCTTTGCCCGGCGACCCATGCCGGCGGCGGCGAGGGGAGAAGAGCCGGAGGTGAGGAACTGGCGGCGGCGGCTAGGGTTAACTCCCGGGCCGCCCGCGGGAGCGGGTCCCGCACCTCTCATTGTAAGGGCATGTACAATGCATAGCCTCAAGGTGATGCCTCACATGCCAGGATCGGATATGACGTAAAGTAGGTTCGGATTGGGAAGCGGGATCCTCTCCAGGAGGCGGGTGCTTGAAGAGAAAAAACGTGGTCCGGTGACAAAAGTTGAAAAGGTTGGAGTGAAACGTAGAGATGCATGTGTACTAGAGTCTTTATTTTTTTATTTCTTAATGAGGCCCACTAGTGATAGCTTGCATTGGAGAGGGAAAAATGAATGTAGGTGCTTCAAATTACTTTTTGTCATGGGGCATATGTATCCATATGCCACCATTGTACATGCCCTAAGAGGCCTAAAAAGTTATGGAGTGGGGAGGGAGGGCTAGGAGGGAATTTCTGAGGGGACCACCTAGCAGCTGCTGTTTTCCCGTCCGTTCCCCCATCGCCCGGCTTGTTTTGGTTGCCCGGTCGCTCGCTCTTCTGAAGGAATTAAAAAGGACTCAGGAGCGTCCCTCAAAAGAAAAAAAAGACTCGAGGAGCGGAACCCTATCCTTCCCAACCGGCCGTACTTTGGTAATCGAAGCACACCATCGTCTTCTGGTAATCGAAGCTTCCCCAACTATCTTTCTTTTTTATGCGGGGAACCTTTATCATATTTCGTTCATTCGAGTTCCAACAGATCTGCGGTTGTATGCATAAAATTTTAATGTTTTGTTACTAGTTCTTCGGACATACCAGCCCTTCTGTTTGCACTATATGTGGATCCCCTTTCTTTTTCCGTTGTCGAGAAGGTTTGCCGTCTTGTTCATTCGAATTCCAACAGATCTGCGGTCGTATGCATAAAGTTTTAATCTTTTGTCACTACTATTTCTTTCGGCATACTAGCCCTCACTATATGTGGTTCCCCATTCTTTTTCCGTTGTCGAGAAGGTTTGCCGTCTTCCAGGAAGACGAAAAAGAAAAGCTGATCTCGAACATCTCTTTTTATGTCCGCGAAATTATAAAATAGCCCTTGTTACAGATCAATAGTTGTTGTTCCAGCTCTCAGATCTGGAGCTTTGTTACATGTAGATCTGATGCAACCCATGGCAGTAGTCACTACTTGATCCTTCACCTTTTTTGCTTCCTACATTGGATATGATGCATGGTCTATGTGCTGTACTACGGCAGAAGTAATATTTGTATGTGCTGTATTACGGCAGAAGTAATATTTGTATGTGCTGTATTACGGCGGAACGGCGGAAGTAATATTTGTATGTGCTGTATTACGGCAGTTATGTATGTTTGCATTTCAGTTATTACTCTTCCATTTTAGGCTTGTTGCTGAAAGCATGTTTTAGTTGGCAATTATTTTAAATTTACCTCGTTCTTTGTGTTTTCATGGCAATGAACGACTAGTTGTTGATGAATATTACAGACAAGTGTTGTCCCATGGAAAGCTTAAGCTTAAGACTCATTCCCTTGGTACCTAACACAAACATCGACCTTAGCTATTGGTTGATCAACTTCCATAACTGTTATGCATGTATATGCTTCAGTCAAGTGTCATGATTTCCATACTTGCAATCCGAGTGTCATGTGTGAAACACACATGTGTTATGCTCATGTTATCTGCATCATCTTTACCATATTTCTCTAGAAAAACATACTTAAACATAAGGTCTCATTTTGTGATCATGGTCTTCAACATCAGCATCAGTATACGATCAGGCTTCATTTTGTGAACTGACTTTAAATTCAATTGGGTGGTACTATTTGTAGGAGCAAGGATATAGTAAAATCGAAGCAATTATAGGTCAAAGTTCGCAATATTTGAGTATGAAATTGTGTACCTATTTTGCAAATGTCATATTCTTTATAGCAAACTTTTTGTCTTTTTGCTAAATGATAAAAGTTCCACACTAAGTGTAGCTTTGAGGTTTCTGTTCAAAATTCAGTATTCTGGCCTCATATTGCCTAGTGCAAATTCTTCAAATAAAAAACACGTAACTAAACAAGATAAGACAACATGGATTGTAGTTACAGGCTGCACTTATTTTCAGGCAAATAAACGCTGAAACTGGAATCCCACGCTTGTTCTTCACCAATGGAGATAATGCACAAGGCAACTGAATCTGCTTATGATGAAGATAATGGTAAAGGTAAGGATGTATCAAGCACGGAAGAAAACGATCCATGGAATCCTTCATATCGATGTGCCCCTCGTCCTTGTAAAGACTTGACTGACAATGTCAAATTAATGAAGGAGGTGCAGTAACTAAACCACCTTTATGATATTTCTCTCTCCTGTTTCTTTTTCGTACTCATGCCTCTCCATGCTTTATCCCAGGTGTTGAGGGAAAAACATGTTTTGTTTGCTGTCTCCAGAGCAACCCAGACAATCGTCCCAGACCGTACTCCTCAGGTTATTTGCTGTCTTTGTTACTATAATTTGATTGACCTGCCGATCTGTTGTCTAATCAAAACCTGCTTATTTCTCTAAGCACCTCTTTAAGCACCTTGTACAGTAGATGGCCATGCATTGCAGCATGTCTTCTGTTTCTCCTGTTATGCTTTGTTGATTGGATAATTGATTACCTTTTCACCCTTCTCATTTTTGCATGTATACATCTAGTCAGTGAATGATGCCTTCGTCAACAAATTACCCCGCTTGGTGCCCATCCTGGAAAAGGATAGTGTCAGGCTTTTTCTCAACTTATTCAAGCATGACTCAGTGGGATTGGCTTGGGGTTTCGTCATGACGCCACAGACCTTCAATCAGATGATCGTGCAAAATGCCCTGCGATGTGCGAAAGTTGCCTTGGAGGGCAAGGCCCCTGAGCTCAATGGGCACCGCGCCAATCCCAACTACATGAACTCACGTGGGTACTTTCCCCTCCACCAAGCTGCTGAAATGTTCTCTGCTGACATGATCAAGTTGCTCTTCCACTATGGCGCGTCGGCCAATTTGCGCACATCTGGCCCTGAAGTCATCGAGGGCCTACTCCCACTACATGTTGCAGTTGAGAATGCTTGCCAGCATAAGTTTCTTGAGGAAAACCTGTTACCCGACAAAGAGAATACTGACTATGTCTACAGGCTCATTCAACTGGTTTGCTTACCTGAAATGGTTTGTCTCACTTTCCTGTTGATGCATATTACCACTATTTGTTCAACTATCTCTGGCAGATCCATATTCTGTGTACCCATAATAGTTTGTCTCAGATCCAACTCAACATGAATTACTACTGCAGCATAACAAATGAAAGTTCTAATATGTCACCACTGATATATAGTTTCTCTGTATTACTATTTTGTATAATCCATGTGTCACAACCATTTTATTTTTTAATCAAGATAATGAAGTCGCGATTCCAAGTTGCTGTTAACAAATTTGACTGTTTCAATTTGCTTTTGCTTGGCGTCAACAACATTGATGCAAGTTATTTGATACTACTTGCTTGCGTATAATGCCAAATATAGTCAGTACTGTTCCATGTTGGTGGTTTTTGCAGAAAATCTTCTTGGATACAGTCAGACTGATTGCAGAAAGAACAGATGATCTAGTTGCTGAGGTCTGGAAATACATAAAGGATGGAAAGCTTGCTGAAACAGCAGTTTTGCTCCTGGCAGCTCAAAAGAAGATCCGCATGGGATCTTGTCTGAAGCCAGATGGCTATAGCAAGGCAGATGGGTTTGCTGTTCTCTCTAATCTATGTACAGAGGATGCTGTAGCCATAGATTTGAAGATTACTCAAAACAGAGTTGGAAAGAAGCAGCAGCTGAAGGCGGAGAAAAATCTCAGGCGTATGGCATTGATGCTTGTTATTGCAATTTCCGAAGCTGGTGAAGCTCTTGATTCATACATTCGGGCACATCCAGAGGTATCAAACCGTTTATATTTGCAGCTATAATGCCTGTATTTTTGTCTTTCCACAAAATACGTAATATTAAGTAAGCACTGGCTTGTAGGAAATCAATGCATTAATCCGATCAATTTAGAATATGGAAATGCCAACATTGATTTAGAGAAAGAATACAACATCCAATGTGCATAATAGACTCGTTATAGGTTGAGTTACGATGTTTGAACTAGTAAGTTTCATGCACCAACCAGAATAACCAAAAGTCTGAACTGATGGAGAAGGTTTGGCAATCTACATATACTTAAACATCCGCTATCATGTGTGGCTCGATAAATCCTAAACGTGGCCAGAAAGAGGGGCACGCATTTTTTTTACTTAGATTGCGAAAGCTGAGACTTGAACCCAAGCCCTCTTGGCCCTGGTAAGTTTCATGCACCAACCAGTAGAACCAAAAATCCGACTTGGCGAAGGAGTTGGGCAAGGGCAATCTACATCATAAACAAATCCTTAATTCAGAACGTAATACCATCAACTGAACCCCCGCAATAATTTTTGTCAATGTTAATTTTGAAAGGAAGGATAACCTCAGATTTCCATGAAGATCCAGCATTGAGCTTGCCATGTCATTTTTTGAATAGCATCCAGATTATGTTGGAGATTATTAAGTTTGCCAAAGGGGCACTGCTTCTCTGGCATTTGAATTAAGCTCAAACTGCCCCTAGTAGTTGGAAGCTGGGGCTCCTGTTATGGTCATGAGTGCGCAAGGCAGCAGATGAGCACATACGTGAAGGCATTGCGTATATTTATGTTGGACATAAGAAGGTCAAGACTTGAGAAGAGAAATAAATAAATCCAAGTAGCAAGCATAACAAACATTGCATGCATGCTGTAAGCAACCGCTTTCACTATTTGTAGTATTACTGACTAGGTATCAAGGTTTACGAGTTGACGAGTCGTTGCAAGGCTGAGACTCATAGACTATTCGTGACTAGTCTAGACTACCGTTGGACTAGTTGGCATGGTACTGTAGCACACATATTGCAGTAATCAATTACTAAAACCTATTAGTATGTAGTCTATACTACTACCTCCGTCCGGGTTTATTGGTCCCCATTGTATTTTGTGCCAAATTTTGACCATAGATTAAACTAACAAAATGTTCACGCATGTCACCAAACATTATATTTCTGAAAACTATGTTCAAATACGAATCCAATGAGATAATTTTTCTTGACATGCATTAACATTTTGTTAATTAAATGTTTAGTCAAAATTTGGCACAAACTACAAAGGGGACCTATAAACCAGGACGGAGGTAGTATATAGCAGTAGCACAGTACAATATAAATACAAATTGAATGCATGGGAAGTGGATAAATACAAATTTCCCTCTCATGGGCTGCGGCCTGGGCGGCTGGCTCACTTATCCCCTCCCAATCCTTAAAACAAATATATTTTTTAGTCGAACGACTCAAAGTGCACGACTAGTCAAGACTAGTCTACAACTAGTCCCTCGACTCCTCGACTCGGCGAACTAGTCTACACAAACTTTCTAGTCGACATCTAGAATGTGACTCGTAGACTAGTCTATCGACTAGTCGCTCGACTCGTAATGCTTGCGAGGTACGGATTATTTGTTTACCAATGCACACGCTAATTTATAAAAAACTGTTACTACCATACCGGACTATTACTAGTAACTAGCTTAATGCACATGCTTTGTCAGTGATCAAAATGACATTGTTCAAACGTAGGTTCGGTTTTGTTATGCATGTTTCAGTCCCTGACCAAGCTCTAACCTAGCCCAGCCTTTGGTTACTACATCCTCAGTGCACACAATGTTTCCTTTGTCTCCAGTCAATGTTCACATCCTTCATATTACTACCTAGCTAAAATTCAATGATACCGGAACAGATTTAGTGTAGAAAGCATACTTGCAAGAAACTTCTAGTTATGTAACTCAGTCAACACTAAACAACTTCAAACACCTGTTATTCCTTGAAACCCAAATAATAATTCCCCCTATCTTACATGCTAGGATGTTTACTTCTTTGTCTTGAATATATATGATCTGACTTTATTAATTGACCTTTGATCTGATTTGTATAGAGAAGACATCAGATCCTTTGTTATATCCGAAGTGTTAAGGATGAGGGCGTGTATTGTAATGAAACAATAAAAGAAGCTATAACTGAGTAAAATTATGGATATCAGCGTCTCATTTTACCGGCAACTTAACCTTATCTCATGTTACGGTTAATGTTAGGCACAGTGTGATGAATAGAATACACCTGCATGTATTGTTCTCCTGATAATACTTTCTAGATGTTTCGTCTGCAAGAAGCACAATTATTAAATGAAATTAAATGCATATATATTGCAATTCTATTTTAAACTCCTATGATCTAGGCAAAATTCGGACTATCTTATATTTTGTTAATTATTAGATGGTTCCATTGCAACAATTATTTCCATCAACTCACTACAGTGCCATCAGCTGATTCGTGTGGTATCTAGACTGACTTTCTCTCTCTCTCTCTCACACACACGCACACACACACGCACACGCACAGGCATTTTCTCATACAAGTTTAATATGTCATGCAGGTGCCCAATGCCATGCAGGTGGCCCATGTTGAGGTCCTGAAAGGTGTCTCATCGATTCTCAAGAACCATGGTTTTTGTCCTACTGGAGAGTGCATCAACATAGAAAACCTGTACTTCTTTTACGCTTGTGTTCCATCTTTTTCATTATTATATTTTGCATACCAATACACAATCGATTTATGTTCATTAAGTTATTCTATCTGTTATTGTAGCCGCCCATATGATCAACAATCGTCCAGGTTGTCCGATGAAGAGTTGCCCAACAAACATGGGTATGCTACAGCTGATAAGGTAAAAATATTCTAGAACTGATGTTTGTCTATTTGTATGCGGTATGCTTGTTCACTATCCAAATTCTGCACGGTAGGGCATCACACTAAAACTTAATACTTGATTGACAAATTGAAATTATCCTGTCACTAGAGACTAGAGACGTAATCTTTAATATTATTGCTTTGGTTGTTAGTTAAAATGACCTGAATTCCAAGGGCTAGTCCAAACTGTGTAATGTTATCTATATCGTGGCAACCACAAGATGTTACAGTAAAAGGAGAATAGTAACGATACGTAGCTAGCAAAAGAAGATCTAATTGCATCAGATGGTACTAGAGACAAGACATGTTAGATTTGCTAATTCTTTTTTATTTCATTTAGATATAGTGACATACATTCCTTTTTACTCCGCCTATCCAGGTATCTTCTATTGATGATGGGTCAAAAGGTAGATAAAACTTATTAGCAAATCATAATAGTATTTTACTCAGTAATTTCTACTTGTGAATAAATTTGAAATACGAGATTAAAATATTTTCTGAACCAAGGGTTTCCAGGGCGACGAATCTTACCTTATAGTTTATACCTTGTTATTTGCGGTCAGCTTGTATTGCCTATAAAATCGAATGGTCCATTTGCCATCTTTATAGTATCCCAATTGTGATCTGCATGTGTCTTAAATGCTGATGGAACTAAAGTGTTTCACATGAAGCTGCACACGCAAAAAAGGTAGAATGAACAAACGGGAAACTAAAACTGGAATAGCTCTTGGTTGCAATCTTTGGGGAAACTATGGTCAATGACACTACTATGCTGTTGATTATAACAATTAACATCCATTAGAAATGACAGCAAGGGGTCCACTTCCACTTGTTAGTCCCGTACTGTTTGCTTATTTTTTAACTTTCATGATCTTAGCAGTGATGCTCAATGATATATACTGCAGGGTTTACTCAATGCTTGTGAGAATTTGTTTTTCTTTTCTCTTGAATTCAAAAATATGACTGGATTTGTGAAGGAAAGAGCAATTCTAGAGGTAACTAACAAAATGCCGTGTGTTGCTATGGAACCACAAAAATGATTCAGTTGTATCCAAGGTTTTTGAGTCGCCGAGTCAAGCCAAGTCGCCGAGGCTGCGGCTAGTGGCTTGCTGGCTTGAGTCAGTGACTTGCCTGGACTAATCGCCCCAAGTCGCCATGGCAGTACAATGCACTCCCGCACCTATTTCCCTCCTTTGCATAGCCCATTAATGCGTTATCAGGCCGAACAGGCCCAGCACGGCCCAACTAACCACTCCCGGCCCTCATCCACTCGCTAAACCTAGCGCTGCTAGCCCGCACTCCTTCATCTGCGCCTCTTCCCTCGAACTTCTTCCTCTGCGCCGCCGGCGAGGAGAGGCGGCGCCTCCTCCCCCGCTTCCTCTCCCTCTCCCGCCTCCTCCCCAGCCTCACCCGCCTTCGGCTCAGTCCTGCAGCTTCATCTCCTCCTCCCCCGCCTTAGTCTGCGCCGCCGCAGCCTCGCTCGAGGTCAAGGCCGTCGCCGCGGAGGTCCAGCCGCCGTCGATCTGAAGGGGGGTGCGTCGCCGGCGAGCTGCGGCGGCGGTTCCTAGGTCACGACCGCGAGCGCCATGGCTTCCTCTCCTCCCGAGCTCCCTCCCTTTCCCTCTCTCTGTCGAGCCAGCAAGTCAATTAATCGACTAATCGCAGTGATTAATTGCAGAAAATCGCGGTTGAGCCAGCGAGTCGGGCGACTCGCTCCGCGAGCCAAGTTGCCCGCGCAAGCCAGTCACGGCGCGACGACTAGGCGATTAGTCGGCGACTAATCGGCGATTAGTCGGCGACTCAAAAACCTTGGTTGTATCAGATTAGTTGGATATAAAATGCACGTGCAACATTGGGGAGAAGAAACTCAATTAAGCAGCCAATACTGCACTTTCGTAACTGCAGCAGCGATGGGAGAGGCATTGTAGGATATGTTTTTTTTCCTCTTTAAATTGGAGCGGTCTGCTGGGTTCTGGTTGGATGAGGGAGATTGGGGTGGAGTAGGGGAGTGGACTCACCACCACGAACTCCAGTTTATAAGATAATTGAGATTTAAATGGGAAGGGGTTCTAGTTGGACGAGGGAGATTGGGCTGGAGTGGGGGAGTGAACTCACCACCACCACCAACTTCAGTTTATAAGATAGTAGAGAACATCTATACGAAAGTCAATTTGGCTCTTGGGCCCAAAAAAAAATTTTGAACTGAAAAAGAATCAAGAGAGTGCCAGATGGATGAAGTGGCGCCAAGCTTCTGGCATTCTCTGTGACAAGAGAGTGCCACAAAAGCTAAAAGGCAAGTTCTACAGGACGGCGGTTCGACTCGCAATGTTGTATGGCGCTGAGTGTTGGCCGACTAAAAGGCGACATGTTCAACAGTTAGGTCTGGCGGAGATGCGTATGTTGAGATGGATGTGTGGCCACACGAGGAAGGATCGAGTCCGGAATGATGATATATGAGATAAGAGTTGGGGTAGCACCAATTGAAGAGAAGCTTGTCCAACATCGTCTGAGATGGTTTGGGCATATTCAGCGCAGGCCTCCAGAAGCTCCAGTGCATAGCGGACGGCTAAAGCGTGCGGAGAATGTCAAGAGAGGGCGGGGTAGACCGAATTTGACATGGGAGGAGTCCGTTAAGAGAGACATGAAGGATTGGAGTATCACCAAAGAGCTAGCTATGGATAGGGGTGCGTGGAAGCTTGCTATCCATGTGCCAGAGCCATGAGTTGGTTGCGAGTTCTTATGGGTTTCACCTCTAGCCTACCCCAACTTGTTTGGGACTAAAGACTTTGTTGTTGTTGGTTAAAAAAAATCAAGACAATTTTTTGTGTGTACTTCATCACATCCAAATGCTACATGCAGTTTTTGAGACAAAAAGGTTAAACATTTTGGCCTGTACAAAAAAACAAATTATTGAACACCAAAGGTTACCCCAAAATGTCACCCCGAATTTGTTTTTTTTTTTGCTGACGAAACACCGCCGATCCATTTCGCATGAAAATTGTCATGTATGCTTGTGACACTAATACAAACTTCTACAAAAAATTCAGAACTTTTTGAAAACATTTAATATTTTGTGTGTGTTACTGTTCACCCAGTAGCATGTGCTCCTAGGAGCCAAAACGCCAGCACGTCATCTATACCACTATATAGTGTACCAATTGTAGAACATATGAAACCGGTGGATGATCTCATCCGTTGGATCATTACAATCAGACGGCTCTAATTGATATCTTCGAAAAGGGGAACTCATGGCATCAGCTGCACCATTGGATCAGGCAGTCCTAGGACCCATATTGAAGGGATTCGTGGTGTGGATCACTACCTTGCTCGCAATGTGATCTGACTCTTGCTCTAGAACTTCCATCTAAGCTACCTTAGGTTTGGTTCTAGGCACTGATTACGAGTCGAAGGACTAGTCGAGACTAGTCGATGGACTAGTACACAACTAGTCCAGACTAGTCTCTCGACCGCTCGACTCGTCGAATTAGTGACTTAAAATTGGAGGGGATAAGAGAGGCGCTCGACCCGCGAGCCCGTCGGAGGGAAGTTTTGTGGCTAGGTTTCAGTTTCGCTCCAGAGAGAACTGCCCACTCCTCTGGAGCTCTCCCTCTTCACTGGTTCCGCTGTCCAGATCTAGCCCTATCTCTGCTGGTTCCTGGACTGGTTCATCTGCTCCTGGATCCTCGCTTTGCAAGTAGTTTCTCCCTTCTCTTATCCTCATATATGGTTCCTCTATTGCTTGATCCTTGGCTGGTTCCTCTACTGTTGGTTCCTGGTTTAGGTTTGCTTGTTTCCATTCAACATCCTTAGGTTTGAGCAGAGCTAGAGTTACAATGTCTACAACACCAGAGATATCTCAGACAGCGTGCTCAGCAGCCTCTGAGGATTATGATCCATCAAAGGATCTTGTGAGGAAGCCAACTAGGACCAAGGACCCAGCATGGAAGTATGCCTTTTGGCCTGATCTGCAGGATAAATTGACAATCCAGTGTGTTTTGTGTGGCAAAAACATCTCTTCTGGTTACACAGTGGTGTTAATGTGTCTGAAAGCAACCGATGAAATCAGGAAAGACATGCATTTGTACATGAAGACTACTCAACCAAGTTCAAAGCCGTGCATTCATTTGTATTGTATACTGTACTTGTATACTTATATAGTGTAATACTACATACTACTACTAGGTATTAGCAGTTATGTATTGTAAGTTCAGTGCTACAGTGCCATGTAGACTACTCTCGCACTAGTCTAGATTAGTCACGATTAGTCTATGAGTCTCAACCTTGGAACGACCCGACGACTATTTGACTCGTAAACATTGGTTCTAGGTTTTGCAACGCCACACATTTTGTGCCAAACTTGCCTAAGTTTAGTTTAATAAAATGAAAGCCACAAGTAGGCAAGCCCAAGGGAATCTTGTCACATTTTTTGAGTGTATGTGATGTGGGGCCATAGTGTGGTGAAAAGCATCTTGCCTAAGGTGAGGCTTGAACCAAGCACCCCCCTAAGTTGTTCGAACTTGTCTAATCTTAGGTGTGACAACCTAAAGCAACCTTAGTCACAGACTAAACAACCCCTACTACTTTAAATAAAAGGAAGAAATCCTTCCGCACATGCATTCAACAATACACTGCTATGGTAAAATATATTCGCATGCATTATGCTATACGCACTTATTAGTGATCAGCTCCCCCTCAACAGTGATCAATGTTGTTATGTACCAAGGGCCCTAGGCAATCCCACATTTTCTTTGTGTTCGGTCTAGGACACAATCATGAAATATGTATAAATTAGGGGAACTGCTACCTTGCCCGCCATATGATCTGGCTCTTGCTCCAGAACTTCCATCTGAACTAGCTAGACGTGGTGAAATGGTCACAACAGACAAGTAGCGCAGGCTAGAAACATCTCGATACGTGCACATGTATAGGCTAGCAACCTAACATCACAGTGCACTGTTGAATACTTGAACGTATGTTTGGAATGATTTCTTCCTTTTTTTTAAGTAGTAGTACATGACAATATTGATTACTGTTTTTTATAGAAAGACTAGGAGACTAGTGTATAAATGTGAGCACCGGGATTTAAACCCTGGTTGGTGGAGTCGTGCCCCCACAACTACAGGCTACAGCACCGCGCCATTGATCATTGATAAGGGGGAGAAATGTTCAAACAACCCCTGAAAAAGCAAATTTACATTTTTTGTTTTGTTTTCGGTCTAGGAAACAATCATGAAAGAGAAATGAGGAGAAATTCCGACTTAGGGTGACAGAGGGAAAATGAAAAAGTGAATAGTTGTTACATCAAGTTTATTCTTTTGATATTTCCATTTTGAATTAAAATATTTAAAAAGTTCAGTGCCGATGACATTTGTTTTTGAAGAAACAATGGTTGTGTCTAAAACATTCCTCATAAAGAAAAAAATGTTGCACTGTTGTGATTTGATGCGAAGAACAAGTAATCTTCCATGAGTTCTCATGAGAAAATAGGGATCTCTTCTTGAAAATTTCAAGATGAATTTATCATAACATATGTTCTTTAGCTTTAATTTTAATGTTCTAGTATTTTTCTTATTACTCCCTCTGTAAAGAAATATAAGAGCGTTTAGATCACTATTTTAATTTTTTCGATGATAAGTATTTCTTTACGGAGGGAGTACATAACAATCTCTCGTAAAAGCACTTACAGATGACCAGTAATAGTAGAGATAGAGATATCAATGGCATATGTCCCAATCACTTTACATGTCCCTTGAATGCAGCTTACTTGTTCAGCTGCTTGCCATGCTAGATAAGTGATATACTCTAAAAAGAAATATCTGAAAACATCACATATTCCAGGGTAATCCAAATGTAATATGTAAGATCTCAGTGGGTCATATTTTTTGTGTTGGGTGTATTTAGCATCAACTTTATTGATCCATGATACAGGCTGCCAGGAAGAAACAACCTAGAGGATGGATGCTCGAACATGCAAGGAGAAGCTTCATCCCATGCTGGAAATCAGTGCTATCATCAACCAAGTTGGAAGCAAAGGCATCTCCCTTTAGTCCCTTGATAGAACTAAAAAGCATGAGAGAGACTCAGGAAATTTGGAATAAATCAGCAGCCGAAAGATCCTCTTCAGTTCCAACTAAAAATCTTGGTTTGCTGGGAAGAGTTCCGCAATTAACAAGTAGTTATCAATCCAGAAGGCTGTTCTGTACTGCTACATTGACGGCCTTCAAACTTTTAAAGCATGCATGAGTTGAGAGGTATGCCATATGAGCTGTATTTTGTATTTCATACTAACAAGGCGGCCTAATATAAAAAAAACATCATGAAAGAATGGCAATTTTCTGATTTAACTTAATAAGTGGATGGCAATTTTCTGATTTAACTTAATAAGTGGTCTGCGCAGTGGGCACCTCATATTTAACACATACAACTTACTTTTCATTTTGCAGTTCCTCAGAAGAGAAGTTACTTCTATCTCAAATCATTTTCAAGTCTGCTTATTATTGCTTGCATGCTATCTAGCCAGTGTGGCTTTCGATCTACGTAGCTACAGAAGTGCCTGTTTCTGACCTTATGCACAGATGTGGTGCAAAACATATTTTATTTCAGTGGCTTGCTCCTAACGCGCTCTTATATATTTTATTTTAGTGGCATGCTCGCTTAAGCGCGTATGTATCCCTTACATTTGCCTGGATGTATCTCACATTTGCCTGGATTTAAAGCTACCTATAGTAGCATTTGAACCGCTCTGACCACTGAGCTTGCGTACATGGTCGATCGTGCATTCCTTGAGGATATATTAAACAGTTCGCGTGTATATGATTTTACTCTCTGTGCTTGGGTTACCGTACATGTAAAACATCCCAACTTTTGACCTTAAAAATATCAACCAGTGCTAAAAATTTCTACGGATCTTGTTGAAATAACTGAAGCTTAAAATAGATTTTACAGCCTGTAAGATGTAATAGGATATATTTCAACTCAGAACATAAGTTGTTTAATTTTTATTTTGGTTTGTCTTGGGACCTTAATTAATCAAAGAAAATGCGACCCTGTTTGTTCGCATGCCAGGAAAAGAGAGATCTGCCTTAAAGTAGGACTATATATATAGCATAGAAGTTCAGCGATGGCCTTTGCCCTTGCCACTGCCCTCTTCGCCGCGGTAGTGTGCTTGAAGGCGACATCAAACACAATAAGCTGTAGGAGAAGTGCACTTCCTCGCATTGTCCACGTCGGCAGGGCTGCCACTGTTTTCTGTCTGTTAAAATAGAGATCGACAGAGAACAATGGAGAGAGTTGTAAAGTGAATCAGTATTCTGTTAATGATGAACAGATACATATTTATAGTTCCTGAAGGGGCGCATCCGTAAAGACGTGACTGTTACAAGAGTTGCATCGGTTGCCTAAAGCAACCGTTCGGTGGTTTGGATAAGTGGAGATTTAACCCTTAATTAATGTGTGTTAATTAAGTCTTAACACTTCCCCTAATCTACGCTTGTCCATGTAGTATTATCATCTTGATAGAAACACCTCCGAGTAAGTTTATCCTTGTGAATGTTCATCATCATCAACTTGAGAAAGTCTCCTCGAAAAACCCTGTGGGAAAAATGTGAGGAGATAGGTGTTTGATACTTTGCTAAAACTCCTTCAAACCTAGTGGGGAAATAAGGAGAAAAATGACGCAACATATAATGGTTATTGTCTCTTTCAACTCAATACGAGAAACTCATAGAATTTAGAGGACAAGGGATATGTCGTATATACTTTCCTAAAAACCCCGGAGGGGAAAACAGAAAGTATGACATATGATCTTGTGTTGATATTACCTCATTAAAAACCTTTATAAGAACCTATAAAGTAAACTCATGAAGGGGAAAAGAGTATAATATGATGCTTTGAACAAGAACAGTTCAGGAAGATACTCTCCCTGATTCTTGCGTGTTCCGAAGTCGTCATATATCAATTCCATGAACACATTTCTGGAACATAGAAGTTGGTAAGACCTGGTGAACAAATCAGTCGCATGATCTGACTTGCAAGATATGCAATATAGTGATATTGCTTATTATGTAACCTGTTTGCATCCGGGCAACACAAGAAACATTATCTTTGAGATAATGGTTGGTGGATGTAGCCATGAGGTCTGTTTCGAAGACTCTTCATAAGAGGGCTATCACACCTAGTAGGAACACTAAACTTGTCTACGATTTGACATAATAGGGATCTGATAGATGTATCCAATGATATCGGTGTTCACATTTTTGTGAAACTGAAAAACCAAGACAGGATGTTTAATGCCTTGGAGATATCGAAAGATATTCTTGAGTACCAACCAATTATGTTTGGTGGATCCAATGGCATTGTGGAACGTTGAGTCCCAATATCTCATTTCCATCGTCTCATGGTCTAAATAGATCTTTCTCTACATCTACAGAATGAACTACCATGAGAGTTATGAGTGGATAAAATTCGTCCACAATGAATTTCTCCAATATATTATGGATATAGACAACATAGTATACCATAATGTATGAATGAAGGTGCTCAATTTGTAGTAACGAGCGGTATTTTGGTTTACCCAAATCCTTCATTTTAAACTCCGTCATTTAGATGATTACATGTGTCGTCATTGCAGACACACAAACATGGATAATCATCATTGTAGGAGTAATCCTTGTGAATAAGGAACTCACTATGTCGGTTGTACCAAATGTACCGACGATAATAATAAGTCATATGGTGACTTATTGATTTTACACAATGTATGTTGCATTTCGTACTTCGATTCAGAATTGAGGTTCTGCCGGGAACCATCTATATCTGAATCTAGTGATCAATCACTAAATCTATCAACTGCAGAGATAGATGATTTTGAACTGCCAATGATATAAGTTATCGGAAAGAGGATCCACCTCTGGAGAATAATTGGGTATCTGCGTGAACCCTTGTGCTACAATACTTGCTCTATGTTTCACCACCTCATTGTTCTCAATTCTGTTTCCAAAAGAAAACTGGTGTAGGTATTGCTTATGAATACCTTCCCATTATTGAGCAAGATCATTTCTACCTAGATTATACCCTTTGCTTGAGTTCAGTCCGGGTGTTGTTCACACTTTGCCATGGCCATGGTCTTTGGATCTGAATCATTTGAATGGTTTTTGCAATCTAGTTGAGAAATGTATATCGACAATTGTAGACTTCCGATTATATGATTCTCCAGAATCTATATATCAATATATAGTTGATGTAAATATCGTTACCCATGGCGACTGCTCGTGATTTCCCAATGCGATTGAGTCGAGTATTCCGATGTCCCGGTCATTGTGTGCACTATGACCTGGGTTGGTGGAGGTTTCCCGTCCACTGGCTGTATACTACCCATTAGGTGTCTGTCAACGTGAAGTTTACTTGCATTTACTGATTCACAGGTCTTGATATCCTTACTTGCGAGAAGCTGAATCCTGATGTACTTCTGCCATACATCTCCCCCTGTTGCTTTGAATGGGGAGTGGAGTGGATTTTGTTGGTACCTCCACTCTTTCAAGCGTACTTTTACAGGATTGTAGGATTGTGTGACACCTTTATATTCAGTAAATGAATCTGGCAGGTTATTTGCAATGTGTTGCAAATCTTCTGAACGCATGGTTCAGATCTTTGAGTACGTGGATCCGAGGCAGAAATGTGTTGAACATCCCACTAATTTCTTGGCATTCTTTATGGTACTTGAATTCTCCCCCTAATGCCTGGAAATGTTCCTCATTGAATCAACATACTGGCCTTGAATAACTCCCCATGTGAGGGGCTTGAGGTACTGACGGCAATACAGTTATTCCTCACATAGATCCCAACTATATGTTGAGGGGCCAATGATGTATGGCGGGTGGTGATATCGGTATGCAACCGAATTACCGCAGATAGGAAATACTTGGTAGATATCCACATATCAAAGATAGAGGGGAATAATGTTATGCAGTTCTGTCATGAGCGTGTAAAACTGCATGACTCCAACATAAAGTTGGTAAGTTGCAATTCCAAAGTAAAGATAATGCAATGAGCTTAACTCTTTGGATAGGATTCTACCAAACCATTTTGAGTCTAGACATTAGGATAAATTGCTAAACTTCAATCCAAAAGCCATAGAGAAGGCCCTCAAGGAGAATTCAGCAATGTTATCCATTCGATTTGCTTGAAATCGATGTCAGGATAATGAGCCAATGATTTCGTGCGAATAAAGCGCACACTTAGGACCATCATGTAGATATGTCTTTTAGAACCATGGAATACTTGAATAGTCTACTCAATGGCTAGGAAGAGCCACTTACCTCGACTTGATGCATTCAAGGAGTCTGAGTGGTTCAGCATAGACTTTAAGGTGTGCGAGCCTTAAAATTAGCTTCCCTGTGTCACTTGTAGTGCACATAAAATCCAAATGTTATTAGAATTTGGGACAATTCCATTTCTCCCCCTAACTTGAACCCACACCTGGCATTTACCCCTAATTTTCGAGTAAGCTCAAAAATACCCCTCTTCCGTCTAGTACCGTTATAGGAATGCCCTTCCGTGTCGTTTCCGTCAGGTCAAAGGGCTTTGACCGTCTCCGTGGCGTTTCTTGGACAATTATACCCCTCCTTACAAGTGGGGCCTTTCAGTAAAAAAAATTGAGGCCCACCATACCGCTTCACCCTCCTTCAACCTCCCGACGCACACGAAACGGAAGAGAGGAGCTCGGGCTCCGGCCATCGCCGGAGACTCGCGGCCATGGAGCGCTCCTAGAGGACCATAGAGAGACCACGACGTCGTGCCGCACCCTAGAGAGATGAGCCCTACGCTCGGGGGCCAAGGGAGGCATGGCCCTGCTCAACAGATGCGCAGCCATGGCGGGGCGCTGTCGGGGTCCACCCCACGACCAACCATTTGGAGAGGGATAATGCTTCGCCACGACGAGGGATGTGCTCTGGCGGGAGGAATCAGAGAGGGGAGGCCCCAAGGCTCGGCATCGACGGTGCACTTCTTCTCTTCCCCAACTCCGTCAGAAGGAAACGGACTCCCAGAGCTAAAAAATTGCATCCATGATCTTCGCCATAGTCTAATTTGTCTTCTGGCCGAAGGGATTGGCTCGTGATAGCCCTAATCGCTGGCGCCCCTTTACTTCTTCCTCGGCTCCGGTCCACCGCCGCCGCGATCGATCTCCGGCCATGGTGAGCCCCCGGTCTCTACGCCATATTTCTTGCGTTCCTTGGAGTTTCCTG